AGATGATTTAACATTTTGAGAAGCCAAGACTGCTATTAAATTTCTACTCTCATTCTCTGCATTTAGTCATTGAAGAAACTCTGTGTAGGCCTTTGGTGACAGAGAAGGCTTCAACGTTGCCAGGATTAAGGCCGTGTCCGAAACGGGCTTCCAGAGCTACGGCTAGGTCTATTGTCTACCCGTCTCCATGCATTTCCAATGGAGCAAAGACTTAGACCTAGCTCTAGATAAGAGATTCGGATGCAGCCTTACCCTGCACAAACAAATGAGACACCGGCTAATTTATCTCCCTGCTGTTTGAAAAGATTTCAGTCTGTAAATTTACCCTGATTCCCTTTGTTGTGCACAATAAATTGCATGCATGAAAACGTCACATGGCTTGATATTTTCATCTACTGCATTTTCAGATCATACACATATTTGTAATGATAATCAATCACAGGGGAAGGGAATTAAAATCAGACATGTTGTCTTTTAATTTTTTTGGCCGAGACCCAGGTGTTTGTATGGTATAATAACCAACCATAAAATGAAAAGCAGGTACATATATACATGTAGTGCCCTCCCATTATCCACAATCCCGTTTTAAACAGTTACAAACTCTGCAATAACTTGTGCAATGTCCACTGTGCTTACATGACGCCATACACCGTAAGTAGAGCTGCCACACAAAAGCCAACAATGTTGTCAAGATACCAGACGTTAGGATGTGTCTCAATGACTGCCGCACTGACCAGAATGCTGTAGGCAGTTATTGAGCCTGCAAGTGAGCTAAAACCTGGAACACGAAATGGGAAAATAACCATGGTTTTTTTTATTTACAGCTACAATAGGTCATACAATGTACTTATAAAGTTCATATTTACTTAGACCCCAACTCAGGGCAAAAAGGGAGGTAGAAAGTGTGACCTGATTGAAGTTACCTGAACCAGGGTAAGCAGCCAAAAACTGCTCCACCAAAGTTCACTTTGAATGCCCAAAGAAATGAGAATGTCCTCCAACCTTCAGAAGTTGCCAGGTGCTTGTCTTCCACCATACATAAAAAGAGTGCCCGCCAATCTTTAAACTCTGGCTGGGAAGTTTGAAACTTTGGGCACTACACATTCACATTCTGGAATACTTCCTATTGCATAACATTATCTTGATTGAAAAATGCCCACATTTGGCTAAAATTGCTTCCAAGTTTTACCCCCCAACCCCCCTTAAACAAAATCTACCTCTCACAGATTCCCCGAAATGCAATAGACCTGAACTCTAGAGAATGAAGGGGGGGCCGAGTTCCTGAACCCCATGCTGAGGCTTCCCGCTTGCTCCAGAACTTACTTAGCATGTTTTTCCAAGACTTTATGTAGAGGTTGGAGACATGTTTAACATTAAATAAGACAGTACTTTACTGTGCAATTGAGCCTTATTTAACCACTTGCTGCCGGGGCAGTTATCAATGTTGATGATCCTGGTCCGGGATAATTATCATTTTTTTCTGTTTTCAAAATTCTTTAAAAATTCCTATCTTCATTTACTGGATGCTTACAAACACGTGAAGGACTGTCTGGGTCCACTCTAGGCCACATCTATTGATGCTAGAGTATTTCAGCCAGGCCTGCAGCCTTGTAAAAAGAGCCCAGATTTTGTGGTGTTACGTAATATTCTTTTGTTCACAAACCTGGCTCAGTGTGCTGCTGACCTCTTTTCAATAGGGGCTAGATCAGCATGCAGCAGTGCTGTGTGGCTCATTGCTGCGGTGGTGGATTGCTTTTGTCCCCGGTGGTATTCCCCAAACCATGGTATACTGTTTCAAAACAAGGCTGGATTATCTCTACTTTTGAGAGTGGAAAATGCCGGTCATGCCCAGAGGCCTGGTC